TAGATCCTTTGTCAGTGTCACCCAAGTGGATGAGTCACAGCCATTGCTTGGCCAATGTGCTCTCTGTGAAAGCCTGAGAGAATGTTTTCTCTCCAGGTGACTCTCCTTAGGCACACTCTATATCATTGATCACTTTCCTCTTTGGCCCCATAATCTCCTTGATCAGAAAATTTGGGACACTACTGAATTACGTGACATTACAGTACAAGTTCTCACATGTCCTGAGTCTTAACTGACCTTGGAAGGCTAGGGCCAAAATGTTGGCTTTCCTTGTGGCCCTCCTTTTCCTCTAATTTTGGGCTGCAAATTTAGGTTGTTAACCCTCCAGAAGAGAAGTTTGTTATTACTACACAACCTAGGCTGTTAAGCTTAACCTCACTATCTGACTGAATATCAAACATCTTAGGCATAACATGGAAAAAGTATTTTTCATCAAGTATTGATATGTTGAACTTTAAGTCCCTACAGAATATGATGAAAAAAACATTAAAAAACTAGAACATATTTTTAAAAAGGCATAAAGAATTATATAATTCTTATGTTTACACAGTAGTCAAAAAATCTAACCATATACAACCTTGAAGCAGGACAGTCCCACAACATTCCTTTTGCTGCCTTCATTCACCTCCCCCTTCTTTTTGAACAAAATCATCTACCCGAGACAGCACAGCAGCAACTGGCATGTCATGACAAGCAGCCTATATTCAGAAGACCAGAATGACAGGCACTCCAAGCATGAACCTATTATTACAAATTGCCATTTTCAGCACAGTTGCTTAGTTCATAGGTGTCACTATATACAGTTATGGTGAGCATCTTTCCAATTAACTGCTAGACTCAAAAATCTTCTGGAGATCCTCAGGATCATTGCCTTACCCATCTTCTACATATAACTGTATGACTTGTCACTGTCATGTTTCCTAGCTCTTCTCCTTTCCCTCTCTTAATTAGTTATGGACCTCTTACAGAGATGAAAATGGTAGTCAGCAGCAGAAGAAAACTTTACACAGATATTAAAGCCAATGAGAACCAAAAATGTATTCAGAATATTTAGCACAGCATTAAGAAATTTCAGAAATCATGTAACTGTTACACAGATACCACCTCTAGACTTTTTAAAAGGACCAGATGTGCTATACCTTATTGGGATAGCTGGTGGCTTCCGTCCCAAATCAGCTTCAAAAAGAAAGCCTTCCACAGCAATAAATAAAAACTGTGCAAATGTCACAATGTTCCCACATCCTGGATGCTTCCTATATAGAGAATAACAAGACAAAATAAGGCACAGAAACTGAGATAAAGAGCATTAAAATGTGTTACATTTACGGTGTCAAAATAACACGAAGGGTAGACTTCTACTACTGCCTTTCTGGATCTTGCTTTTCACAGCCCATGGATCACACACATTTTGTACTATACCACCAGAGAATGTCAAGACTTTCTTGTTCATTCTTCACTTGGTATAGCAGCCACATGTGAGAATTACTCTACTATGCTGGTTGCTAGAACACAGCTTTCCTAGTAAACTACAGGAAACTAATCATATGTTTCTATTGAGATCTCCAAATAACCAAAGGGGCCTTTAGTTAGAAGCCTGCTCAGCTTAGGTAGCAAATCCCAAGGACAAATACGCTGGAAATTATCCTTGAATTATCTCTCCTGACCAGGTGACAGTAGGAATATTGCTTAACATAGTGTCCCCAATGGCAGAAAAACTAGTTCCCTGGATGGGGGAAGATGTTACTCTTTTTGCAAGTATTAGGCACAGATACACATATCTATACACAAATCAGCAAACCTCCAGTATATGTAACGGGGGAGTGATTAAGAAAAATATCTGAAAAGACTTCTGGGATTGGGGTCAAGACCTTCAAAAAGAATTGAGAAACACTGCTCTAGTCTACTGTTTTCTATGACCCTTAACCATGTATAAATTAGGCATTCAAGAACTGTTTGTGGAGTTCAACTGATCCTCTTTGGTGATCTATGTACAGGGTAGGGAATCTTCCATAGTAACTATTTGGAACACATTTACAGAGGAGAAAATTTCCTTCTGATATGCCTCTGGAAGCACTATAAAAATTAATCATGTGCAATGTTGATGGTTTTCTTAAGCTTGTCCTTCACTCTGCTCTGCTCTGCTCTGCTCTGCCACTGCAGGAAGGACAAAGCAAGTAGCACCCAAACTTCCTTTAATACCAGTGTGCACGAGCTTCACATTCTGTCTTTATATTTACCAAAGTCAGGGAATAGAGGAATTTAGCTACACATATCAACACAATGCTACTTAGCAAAAAGAACTCCATTTTCTACTAGTGGACTAATATTAAATTGCAATGCCAAAATAAACACATTCCTAGATAGACCCACAGGCCATCAGACAAACCTAGGCATGAGTCATTCTTGCAGTGAGCCAGGCTGATCATCTGAAGCAGATCGTTCACTATTCGTAGAGTGCCACTGCCTGTGAAGCATTCTTTCCTTGAAATGGACTCTTTGAGACTCAATTTTACCATTTCTCTTTGAACACGTTTTGTTTTAAAGGAACCAGGCTAAATGTTGCATAAATCCATAAATAATCATGTAAGCCACTTATCTCATTCAAGGAGTTAGCCTAAATACCAGGGCCAGGAGAAAGAACTCTAATTTAGATGGTCCATAGCACATTGCTTTTCAACTCTGGCAGCTGTTCCTTGTAAGTCTACACGCTGGAAGAGGCATACTCTCTCAGTTCTGCTTTCACTGGCCTGGGGAAAGGCCGTGGGGTTCTGTACTTTCAAAAGCTTCCCACCTGATCCTCAGGTTCAGCCAGAGTTGGGAAGCCTTCCTCCAGGTAGTGGGAAAGGGCTGAGCATGCATGTATGTGTGAATGAATAAATGGATGAGTAAGATGCACAGGTGAGTTGCATGTGCAGACACAGAACTACTGTGCTCCACAGCACTTGCGAGATCCACCTGCATCACCACGTGAGGGTAGAAGTTAATCAACTTATTTAAGTTCAGCTTCCTTATCTTTAAAATGGGAACAATATTAGTGCTCACTTCACTGGTTTACTGTAGAAAAAAATGAGCCAATTCCTGAAAAGCACAGTGCTTGCCACAGAGTGAAAAAGCCATCAGAATTACAATAATGACCAGAAGGTAGGATCTTCCATGTTGAAAGGTTCTCACTCTAAGAATAGCACCCTTTTAAATATGTGACCAAAAAATGCAAAGAATATATGCTAGAGTTGTAGTAGGAACTCAGTGAGGAAATACAAAGGGCCAAGCATGACTGAGCCCCCAAAAAACCTAAAATGTTCCGTGTGTTCCTTTCCATTCTTTATCAAAGGCTTACAGCAATTCAATTAAAGAACTGTTATCAAGGACCTATTTTGCTAGTTAAATTCTAGCTTCATGGAAGTTCCCTACGTGGATGATTCTTGCTCCTTGTCCTCAAAAGATGACAATGTCATGAGGGAATCAAATATGAGGTATGAAACAGTAAGAATCCTGAACCATAATAAGGATGGACCTTATCTTACTCATCTCTGTGCCCCCAGTCTTGGGGCACACTGTCTGGCCTTCACCCTAGCACAACAATGAGTATGAGAACACCTTATTTTAAACAACTGTGATCTAGACTATTAGCATTTGTACAAAAGAGAAAATTTATTTCAAAACATGATTCACTTTACAAGTGTATTCTCTATAAGTTTTTAAAAACATCATATCTTTGTGTTTTATGGTGATAGATATTATTAGAGCTATTTCACTGAGTTCGGTACATCTACCAGGGTGTAGAGTAAAGAAATGGAGTTTACCTATACACTTATTATTGTTAATACTGAAATTCAGTGATCTGTAGTATGAGTTTTTAGTTCCACAACGATCACTACTAGCTGTCTTAGGCTACTCTCAAAAGAAATCTCATTGCCATTAGAAGACAGCCCCCCAACACAGCCTTGGACAATTCTGACTTCTGTCTCTTTTCCACAAAATTTTAAAATCTGTACTCACATAATCTAGGTTAAAAAAAAAAAAAATTCAGTGTTCTGGGAAGATATTTTTAAGCAGACATTGTTGTATAGCTATCAGTGGATTCTGAAAAATTCTGAATTTCAGAGGAAAAAATCTTCAAAATGTTGCCCTAAACTTGCTGTTCTTTTGTTTCTTCAAATATTATAATCATTAACTGCAAATAGCTTCTCTTACTTTGAATTATCTTTAGCAAAAATCTAAGTGTTTATTTTTTTTTAAGAAAGCAACCCTGAAGAGAGTGAAGTGCCCATATAGTTTATTCCTTTGTATTTCTTTTTCTAGATATGGGAAATGCCCTTTACTTCCACATCGGGGTTTGATTATTTAAATAGGAAAAATATTTTAGACTGTTTTCCCAAAGACGTGCAATGCCTTGGCAAGCTAGTTAGTTAGCTGCTATATTGTCTCTTGTTTTCTTTTTTTTTAAATATTTATTTTTACTTATTACATTTATTTATTGTGTGTGTGTGTGTGGCCAGCTCAGCCCACCAGGGGGCGGGGCTGGCTGGCATGTGGTGCTGGGGATCGAACCATGGTCCATGTGCTTTGCCAAGCTTGTTTCAAGTAGGTGCTTTAGACCACTGAGCCATCTCTCCAGCCCTCTTGTTTTCAAGGTAGACTGTAAGCTCCTAAGGTAGGGGAATCAGGCAATCATTTACTACTATCCTCCTGCTGGGTACAATGCTTTGTATTTATATTTTATTATTATTCTCAGTTATAGGCATGCAAATCAGAAAGAAATTCCTAAATTTACTTTTCATTTTTCAAAAAAAAAAAAAAAAAGGTTTAAAACGTTCTCTTCTTGAAAGTCATTCTAGCATTTCTATTTTCAGTTTACTTGCCACCTTTTATGGTATCTAAAAGTTCTAAGAAGCTATATTAAAAGGACAGCTCCTGCTCCATAAAAATTTATGAGCTCACCATGGTAATATTCATAAATAAGTCACAAATTCTGACCATATCTACAAAGCAGACCAGCTGGCTTAATCAGGTCTTATCTTACTGATCTCTAACAGGAGAAGTTGTGACTTGCCTAAGCAAAATTAGGAAAAGGCTGCTCTTCAGTCTGGTGTACCACTGATTATATTAATAAATATATTCTCGTAGCATTTTATGAAAATGTAATTGCAAAAATGAAGATTTATCAAAAGATAAACAAGGAGTGCTGTTATGCACAATCTAAGTATTCTAAACAGTAGCTCTTCTAAGGCATGAAACATTTTATAAAGTGATAGTTGGCCACAACTTTTCTGTAACATCTCATAAAATGAAGCACATTTGTACTGAAACAAAGATGTAAGACAGTAAGGGAGGCCGACTCTTAGTGTGCTTCAGGCTTTCTACCAGGTGTGACCAAAATATACAGTGACTTTAAAAAGATATTACTTGGTCACAGATCTTGAGAGTATGCCAGTCTCTGGAGAACCAGAACCTTCGATTGTTTAGATTGCACCTCAGCCCAGGTGATGTCTCTGTCAGAACCTCAAGACATTGCTGGACCCTGAGAACTTCACCATGCAGGACCACACCTGCTAGA